TAATTTACCTGGATGAAAGATTAAGGGCAATTACTTGTTCCAAATATGGAGAAAATTGTGGTTTCAGAGGTGTTTTTTTTTGTGGAAACTCAGATAGCAAAATGATCATTGGAATGGGTCGAATGATATTTCATATAAAAAACTGTAAGTTGTGACAAATTAATAAGCCTTAAGAGCTTTTTCTACTTGTGAAAAAAGCAACTTTGAACTTACTTACTTCATTTTAGTTTTACTCTAAAAAAATTAGCTTTTGAAGTTCAAAAATTTGATATTTTTTGTAAATATTTGAAGAACAAAAATTCTGTTTGAAATACGAGTTTTTTAATACCTAAGGGACAGTGTTTTCTTTAAAGCGTAACAAATGCTGAGCAATACTGCTCGTATCAGGGTGAAGCCCTGAATGTTCCGACTGCCTTTAAAGGTTTATGGAGCAGTAATAACATCAAAAAAATAAAGCAATAAAACAAAAGGAAAATATATTTTTTTGTAAAATTTGAAATTTTTTATGAAAATCATCCCCCCACACGCCATATAAAGTACAAAAATATAGATTTCGCTCCTTGTAACAAATCAATATGGCAAATAAGCTTCTTTCAACCAATTTGGAACGATTTTAAGACGGATTAACTCTCCGCTTACGCGTTAATAGCGCGAAATATATCGCGCGTTAATTGTCCCAAATTGGCCAAAATGGCAATCTTTAAACCCCCATAACTTTACGAAAAATGATCACAGGTGAAACATCTTTTCAAATTTGAGCTCATGACAACAATACCTTTCGAATGATATAAAAAAATTACGTCAAAAATGGCTAGTTAAAAAGTCGAAATTTGTCTGAAGAAAAAAAAACCCACCCCGAGCACAAATATTCCGTTCGGAACAATAACAAAAAATGGTTTGAGTTGACTATGAAAAGGATGCGTCGGAACAATAACAAAAAATGGTTTGAGTTGACTATGAAAAGGATGCGTCAACAAAATTCTAGCAGTTCTTAATTAGTCTATTAACGTTGAAGTTTTGCTAATCGCTCTCGTAGATACCATTGTACAATTTATCACAATAATGATGAATACAGTTTGCCACAGTAATGATAAAATAAACTTGTGCGCAATAGCAGGTCGAGGTATCTGAATTTATTTGACGTGATGGTCATCAAAAAGGAAGCAAAACGTGATTTTTGATGATAATGCGATGGGTTCGTTTGCGCACTCTTTTTTTCCCTGGTGCCGAAACAACTGAACTCTAACAGAAAATTTTTCCAGCAACGGTTTAGGGTGAACGTTCATTCAGCCATTCGAATACTCGACCCTAATGATAAAGGCTGTCATCAGAGATTCAGTAACAGTACACTCTAAAAACAAAAAAATGCGATCATCCTTGTGAAGTTGTTTCAGAATACGCCTGAGCCTGGATATATATACAAACTGAAAATGTGAAACATTTTTTTCAACTGACACTTTCTGGCCTTGTTCCTTAGTCATTGTCATGTTTTCATCTAGTTTTTGCAATCTGATGAAACCCATCGTACGCTTTGAAAACTGAGAAGCGTTGGTTGTCGTGAAAAAGTGTGTCAAAAGCAGCTGACAAATACACAGTAAAAATCAAACGTCAATTGTTTGAGCGAACAAAAAAAGATGGAAACGTGGAGCAGAACAGTTTTTGTTGAAGGAAAATTGCATCAGTCATATCGCCTGTTAGCAAACAGGTTCATATTTTTCAGGTACTGTATGATTTTCGATAGTTTCTCAGAAACCTTCGAGAGGAATGGAACATTAAATTTGTGATAGGCCGTCAATTTTTTATCTCTTCAATGGCAAAAGACCGGACACAAAGCTGTTTTTAATTTAAAAAAATCAAGAGAAATGGAATCATCAGGTGCATCATTTTCTTGAAGTCTATAGCTGAATGGAAAACTGCAAAAGATTGGTTCAGTAAACTTTCTTGTTAAGTTCTCTGGAGTTTCACAAGCGAACAAAAACAGACTGGGCTCGCCGAGTCTGAACGTGCACAAGAGTGAAAGAGTTTTTCACTCGTTCGAGTTTTCTACTGAAGAACTAAATGAACTGATGGAGAGGTTGAAACAACTTCAGCTTTGACTATAGTTTTTCCAAAAGCATTCTATCAATTTAAAATTTACACTAGAAAAAAAATTTACATTGAAAAAAAAACAAGTAAAAGTGTTCACAGACCGTTTAATTGTCTCAGTAAAAAAAATCGGTGTTTTATAGCTGCTCTTCAGGTTCAAGTTCAAAAAGATTTTATGTAGTGTAATAGCATTAAAAACATTGTACTTCCTGATACGCAACAAGCTAACGTTCGCTGAGGGCATGAGAAGGCCATTAGCTCATCGGCAGAAACTTCCTTATTGCAGCAAGCCATATCAATTATAAGTCCAAGGTTGTGTGTCTGCCACGTTTTGAAAAAATTATTTCCAAATTTACGACTTGCGAAAAAACTTCTTTTTGGTACTTCACTCAGCAATTGAATCTAGTATAACAGTCAAGTCAGAGAGCCAAAAATTATTAGATATAAAACTAATGGAAAACCTATTTCAATAGATTCAATAAAAATGCTGCAAATTTCCATTTGGTGGCTGATGAGCTAAAAAGAAAAAAAAGCAACAGCTTCAGGTTAGACGAAGAATTTTTTTCTAGCTGTGTTTTGAAGAGCCGAAAGCTGTCAAAACTAGATTAGAATGTTAAATAATCAGCAGTTCATCTCTTGAAAACATTTCTTACGTTTTTGTAGAAAAAAAAAGACTAAATTGAATCAGCTTGAAGGACAAAACAGCTTGCCCAAATTGTTGCTTTTTACTTATGAAACAATAATGAAAATTGCATTCAGGTTCTCGTTCAAAATGTGATTATAGATCTGATGCGTGTTGTTACCGATTGATGGAGAATTCTATGTTCAAAATTGCAAATGACTTATGCGAATTCAATTTGTATGAACAAGATGTGACAATTTCTTCCTTGGAATAGTTCTCAGCCAGTCCCGGGCATCATGATCAAGCAATAAGTTCTCACAGTATTAAGCTCGGGACCGATATTTGGTTTCATGACAACCTCCCTGTTGCAACTTCAAACACAAAATGAACAGATTTGTTGAAAGCTTCATCTGTCGATACTATCATCGCTGCTACTGGCTTTGCTCCACGCGAGGTGTAGAAATCTGAGTTCAACATAGAATATGTTCTTTGTTAGCACGTTTGCCGCTTCAGACGTACTTTTTTTCACTTCACTACAGTTTTACTCAACCAAGGTTAGCTTTTGAAGTTCAGAAGTTTGAGTTTGTTTTTTGAAATTTTTTTTTGAAGAAGTAGGTTTTCAAGCTGTAGGATGACAAAATGTTTTTTTAAACAAAAAAGGAATTGTTCTATCTAATGCGTAATCAATGCAGGATAACAAAAACAGTGGTTTGAGATGGCAACGAAAAGGAAAGTTCAACATAAATTCAGCTCTTATCGATTAAACAGTTTGACGTTTTACTGAATCGCTCTCGCAGATACAGTAGTATAATCTATTAAAATAATGAGAAACGAGCTCGTGCGACAATACATTCTTAAAAAACGAAATCATTTCAAATGACATTAACAGGTCAAAGTGATTGAGTTTATCTGAGCAATCATGCTGAGATGTTCATCAAAAATGAAGCCGAAACTAATAAGTTTGTTAATCAAATAAATTGGACTCATTCATGAACCCTTTCGACCCCTGGGATCAAAACAGTTGATAGAAAAAATTTTCCAGCGTTGATTTTTAGTGAATATTCATTCAATCATTCAAAAACTCGACCAGCAATGCTGTTAGCTGTCATGAGAGAATCAGTTACAGTAGACTCTATGAACAATTAAGACTGCGATAGGAACATTCTGAAACAATTTCACAACGACTATCGCATTTTTGCTTGTTCGTAGAATCATACTTGCTAAATTTTCAAAATAAAGCGTTCTGATAATTTGTATCATCGGAAAAGCAATGAAATAACTCTAGATCAGAACTCTGAATTTTTTTTTGATTTTTTAAACAAAAAATCAGTGAAAATAACATTCTGATGACAACATACAACTGAAGCAGCGATGGTAACAATATGAGACCTTAACCTCTTGTCGTATAAATTGTGATATGATTATAAAAATTATTCTACACTTTTTGCAGTTTGCGCATTAATCTGCCATTCAAGTTGTATTAGGAAAAAACAAACTTAGTTAATTTTAGTTTTTTTTGTTTTCTTTTTTTTTCATTTTTTAAACCTAAGTTGCTTAGAACGTTTAAGTGCACACAGAAGCGGATCTAAGTTTTTCTCGAGGGGAGGGGGCGGATTTTCAAAAATGTTGTTAACCTTTTTTGTCGACAAAATTCACTTTTCTGGCGCTCCCAGAACACTATAAAGACCCTATTTTGACCAAAAATTTTGGGCCACAGGCAAATTTTAGAAAAAGCAGGCAAGAAATGCCGTTTTGGGCATTTTTTGGAAAATCTTAACCAAACAATTGCGTTTTTTTTTGGCGCGCTCTTTCCTGTAAAATTAGTATACATTGCATTACGAGTCCAAACTGTGCACTGGATACGCACATAATTTAGTGTGCATAGATCTCTGGAATTCACAGACAATTCGTCTCTAGACTTGTAAAAAGTTTGTCGGGACGATCAAAGAAAACGAAAGAAAACGGACCATTTTGTTGATGAGGGGGTCCCTCCCTAAATCTGTCCCCTGAATGCACATGAAACTGTTGCGATTTTCCTTTGATACGAAAAGTCTCAAGCTCTAATTAAGTTGTTTCTTCATGCGACTGCTCTCAATCAAAGACAGAGCTCAAACATCTAAGACTTTTTAATTATCTTGACATTTATTTCCAACAGATATGCAAGGTTTTCAGCTGACTATTAGAAAGCATGAAAAACAATGAGACAACAAAAATTTTATTAACAAATCATGCTTCATTTTCTTAACATGAACATTTCACAATCAAAGCCAACGAAATGCTAGTAAGTCAAAAATTAAAACGAACAAATTATTTTAAGCGATTCAAATTCAAGCAATAGTCGGATACAGATAGGTATGGTACATAAGCATAGACTTACTCAAATGTACCATTCATATATTTATAATTGATAGTATTGTTAATAAAACTGATAATTGTAACTTAAATGTGATAAAATAGTTTGATCATGAAACAGAGTTGATAGGTGTCGATATCTGAACGCCAGACGGTCTTGGAGCGAGACTCTTTTTTGCAGTGATATAGTCGGTTACTTGTCAAGTCCATCAAGTATCGGCAGGATCACAACTTCTTCGTAATTCAATCAGATTTCAAACTTGTTGAGCTATATACTGGCAACATGAAAAGATCTGCACTCGACCCGGAAATGTAGTTCAAAATATCTTTGGAAGCTCGAAATGTGTGTCAAAATTTGGTCCATTTTGATTTTTGGGCAGGGCTCAAAACGTACAAAGTTCTACTTTAAGAAAATTGCAGTTTTGTACCCAAGTTCTGTCATTAAGAACAATTTGGCCCGCTTTAAAGTCAGAAACTAATCTAGAATGAGATGAAAAATTAGAATAAGCTAAAATAGTTACACAATCAATCTTGGTTGCATCTAACAATTGCTGGAGTAGGGAATACATTTTTGTGCTGAAATTTCTAAATTTTCGCTAAATTTTCGCTATCTCGGATAGAAATATGTCGTAATTAAAATCATTACTAAACTAATTAAGCAAGTAATAACAAAAGTTATAAAAGAAATAAGGTAACGGAATCAAAGTAACGGAAATTGAATGGCTTCAAATTTGGAATGGGAATCAGTTGTAAATAAAGGAACAAAAATTTAGGGAACAACAACTCCATTTGAAATGATATGTAGCACACACTCAATTTTCGAGTAAAAACCTTCTTCAAACTTAATATTTTTTGGAACAAGACCTGAAACTCCGATCAAGATTTGGAATTGCGAAGAAAATAATTTCACGCAATTTTTTAACGTTATTTTTTTCTAACTCTAGTTTTTATTTCGTAACAAAACCGGGCTAGCTGCTCCTGGAAACTTCCGTATTATCATCAAGAGATGCAAGTTGGAATGCGTTTAATTGCTGTTGAAAAAACTCGGCTGACGTATTTGAATCCATGTCTTGAGTCCTGCACGTTTCGTTGTGTTTATTCAAATAAGATTTCAGAGCAAAATTTTTTCCGCAGTAATCACAATTGTGTTGTTTTTCAGTTGTGTGTAAATGCATGTGAGCTCTTAAGTTTGACCGGTCGCCGAATGACCTGCCGCAGTGCGCACAGCCGAATGGCTTTTCACCCGAATGGGATCTCAAGTGACATTGCAAAAGCCATGACCTTGAGAAACTTTTTCCACACGTGTCACATTTATGCTGTAGCTGGTGTGTTAATAAATGCATTGCAAGCGCCGGCATTGAGACGTATACTTTAGTACATTGAGGACAGGTTTTAGCAGACTCGCTGTCTATGCTTCGATGCGTCTGCTTATGTCGCGATAGGTTAGATGAACTGGCATACTTTTTTCCGCATTGATGACACCCGAACTTCTCGTTGTCGGGTCTCTTGATTTTGACCCGGCCATCGATTCGATCGATTCCGTCGATTGTCATCATGTTGACCTCTTTCTGTTTGAACTCGCTCGGCCGTCGTTTTTCTTCAACCTCCTTTTTCTCGTCTATTCGCAAGTCCAGAATATACGTGTTGTTTGGGCTGTCACGATCTTGGTCTCTTTTCTCATTCATGAATTCTTCCTTGTTCGTTGCTTAAAACAAAAGAAATTGTTGAAAATTAATTTTACAGAGATAATTGTTCTCATAATATAAGATATATATATAGCTTCAAAACATGCAAAACGTTGGTTTTGTAAGTAGCATATAATGTTCCAAACAAAAAGATTTGTAAAAATATATTCAAAAAGCAAAACCGGAAAATTTTTTCACTTGGTTTTTTTTTTACTTTTTGTCATGAATTCCTGTTACTTTTTCCAGAAAAGGAGATTGAATTAAGCGAAACAACACAAGAGTAGAAAGTGGTAGAAAAATCAACTATGAAGTCAGCCTCTAGACTAATTTCTTGAACTTTTGGAATCCGAATCACGGCTGAAAGTACTTTGATATGATATTTTTTTGAGATATGACGAAAACGTTTGAAAAATGTTTTGAAAAAATGGAAACTACACTCTACGCCATAGCTCGTGAAGTGATCCGAACATTAAACAAGTTTATCCAGTTGATCACAGAAGTTGATCACAGATTGAAAACGTGATTCGATCAGCTTTAGCGGTTATGTGCGTTTAGAGGGAGGGAGTAGCTAAACTAAAAGCAAGCTTAGATCAAACTACAAAAAAAATGTTATTAAAGAACTATAATAAAATTGAAGTCGCTTTCACAAACTTAAAAGGACTAAGCATGAATTGTTTTTTTTTCACTTCTTCAATCTTTACGAACAAATCAAGAACAAAAGGACGTTGATATGACACGATTTGACTTTATCTGCATGTGTTTGTGGCAGATGCATTTGCGTGGACAAAAACACCCGAAGCTTTACTTCATGAAAAATTGATTCGATAAGTTAGTTTTTTGAAGTATCGAATATTACGTGAAGACCCCCATTTCACCACGAGGGAAATTCAGCAAACATGCACAGCATAATCTGCTTTTTTTGTTAAGCACCATTGAAATGATTAAGGTTTCCAGAAGCATTTTTATAATATTTTGAGCTATCTTGGGTCCAATATGGAACATCCCAAAATACAGATCTTCGGTGTAGTCCCTGATTTAAACCTGAATAGGTTTTTTTACTCTTATGGGCTGGGAAATGTTTCCTCACTTGAAGCAACGAGCTCGTATCATTGTCAAAACACCGACCGTTCGATTGAGAGACAGTAGCATAATAAATAAAAATCATAAAAATAGTTTTAGCACCTAAGCATCTGAAAAGACTCAAAATCGATGTCGAGTTTAGAGGTTTTTGTGAATGTAAAAGTCAGTTTTTAGTTTCTTCTGGAAGTTGAAGAGCGTTGTGAAGTGTTTTATTTAGGAGAGGGGGGGGGGGGGGCGGTTTATTAGCTGCCCAAAATGCTAAGTCTGTGATGAACAATTGAATGATGACTGTTTACCTGTTACATGGGATGAGTTTCGTCGTTCTCGGTTCCAGCCGAGAATGAAGTCCATAGAAGTCGAGTTGCTCCTCTCCATCTTCAGGTGTGATCAGATGACAACTGAGTCGGGCGAGGATAAGGGGTGAGATATGTACGAGTTAAGGGATTTTCTTCTCCTTTTAAACTGAAACCAAACAGAGCGGTTAAGAGTCGAATTTTTGGTTGTAGGCCAACAAACCGAATGGCCAACAAATCGAAAATTGGATTACCATTTCAACAAGCCGAAAACTAATATTGTTCTGCAACATAACAACAAAACATCAGATTGTCATTGTTGTTATGCAATTGTTATGTAACTCTGATGTAATTTACGTTATTCTGATGCAATTTCGGCTTCAAGATATGACGGCTTGTAGACGTGGCGGTTTGTTGATTATCCGCCGAATTTTACTCATATTACAGTAAATAAAAAAGTTGATTAATGCAGTGCTGATGTAAATAATCCGGGCAAAATGAATAAAAATTGAAATTCAAAACGCGTTTTTCTCAAATTGAGTTGATTTTAGACAAAAAACAAGAAGATCAACCTTGCTTAAAATTTTAACAAAATTATATGATGCAATTTCTTTTGCAAAGTTCGGGCCCAAAAATGTACCCCAAAAACGATCAATTTTGGCTTTGTTTAATCAAAAACTACAGGATCAATTGCTAATAAAACTACACCGAAACAAGCTTCTTATGTATCCCCACAAAATTTAGGAAGCGTGTAACCTCCTAAAAAGGGCGCAAATGTTTAAAAATATTTTTATTAAAACAAGTTGGTGTTTTATATAGTAAAAATGACATTTTTGACCATCAAACAAATAAATATGCTGAGACAAAACTGCGAAAATTATACCCGCTTAAATTTTGTTAGGCTACATAAAAGGATTCCAATGATATATTTTTGTCAGTAATTTTGTCAGATTTGGAGTAATTTTTGATTGATTAAACAAAGCCAAAATTGGTAGTTTTACAAGTAAATTTTTGGGCCCGAATTTTGCAAAATAAATTGAAACTTATTGATTCTGTTAAATGCATAATCTAGGTTGGTCTTCATCTTTTTTTGTCTAAAATCAACCCAATTTGAGAAAAACGCGTTTTAATATTCAAGTTTTTTTTCTCATTTCTTAAATTAGCACTGAATTAGTGTTGTGGTAAAGTAGCGATAATACATACTAATTCCATGCAGGAGAAAATTTAAAACTAATGACAAAACTTCTATAAACTGCTGCTCTCAAACGTCATTTTCGACGCGTTTTTCCATAAACTTGCCTACAAAAAGAGCAAAACGGGATCATTTTAATGCTGTGGGAGAACTAGAAGAATTAAACCATCAATTTGGTAGACCTTGAATTTTTTTTGTAACCCTTCTGCGAAAACTCTAGATTCACCTCTGCTTTGATACTTGCACCACAACCAAATCATTCAGTTTTAATTGCGGAATTAGATGCAAACATTTACGCAATTGTTGTCAAATTTTCTCAAACTGCTACAAAACATATATGTAAGACCAGCAGCGAATTCAGAGTTGGTGGGGGGGGGGGGGGGGACGGACACTTCTCTCTAAAGTTTTTCAAAAAGCGCCTAAAAAATTGATTTTTCTTCTAACAGGGTCTTTCTAGTGATTTGGGAGAGCTCGAAAAATCAATATGGTCGACCTAAAAAATTTAACAAGTTTGACCAAAATTTCGGAATTTTTTTGAAAATCCGACCCCCCCCCCCTCGAGAGAAAACCCTGGATCCACCTCCTGTGTAAGACAAGGAAACTTTAAAGTCACTTAAAATTTTACAAGATAAATAATGCTATAAGATTAAAGAAAGTCGGCTTGCAGACAAGTTTTATGTTATTAGATTCAAATCGACAATAGCAAGGAAGTAGCAATAGGAACAGCACTCACCTTGTTTAGTTACATTGTAATGAGCTCTTGAAAAATCAGTGGATCGAAAAATAGGGGGTTAAAAAGGAGGTGAAATTTGATTTAGGGAAGGAGATTATTGCATTAACATTTGGCACATGAAGCTCTTCAAATAGCGAAATAAATGGCTTAGTTAACAAGGGCACAAGGATGGGATTAATACACACAAGGATGAAAAAGAACAGAAGAAAAATCAAATCTTTATCAAATCAGGAGGGCGAAAGTGGGAATGAAATGGGACGAACAAATCAGCGGGTTAAAAAGAGAGAGAACAAAATAAACCAGTTGCGCTTTCTGCGGCTGCTAGAGTGAAAAGAAAATTACTATTTCAGAGCGAGAAAAAACATGAGCTGGGATGAAGAGTTTCGGGGGGGGGGGGGGTGATGTTGGGGAAAACAACAGAAAAAGTTGAAAAGAAAGCCGATTTTATAAAAATAGGTAAATAGGGTAAAATTTTTCTCATTTTAGACATGTTGGTTAGTACATAGTAATGGTTGATGATTTACTCTTAGGAAGGGCATATATTAGTTTTCATTAGCAACTTTGCCCAGCGTATGCAACCTACTTTATGCATTTACCCCATGGCGAGGTTATAGACAGAAAGGCGCATTTGATATGTTATAAGTTAGAGTTATAATTTAGATATAACAAATTTCGAAATAAAGGCACGGGCAGAAAAGAAAAGGTAAACTGAAAATGGGCTACATTGTGGGAAATGGCAGGGAAATTTTTATGTTGCTGGTTTGTAAGTAGTAACCATTAATGCGTGAACAACTGTTGCGCTATACCAGCAACAACCTTTTCTTGCTTTCAAAACTCAACATGAACAAAGTCCCCGCAAGCTCAGGTCAGGTTGCTATGGCAACCATGTTATATATGCCAGCATAGTTTTTCGTTCGTTCATCCTAATTCTTAGAAAGCCACACCTGGTATTACTTTCATAATGCACGATCACGTACATCAATTCCAATCCAAAAAAAAACACTGAAAAGTTACGCTTTTTAAAATTTCGGCCAGCGGTGATGGCAAAATCTTCAGAGTGCTGAGTATTTGGGTTATATGGGTTGCAATTAATTTTAATGACAAATCTGACCTTTCTTAGATTTTCCGGGGGAAAGTTGGAACGAACTGACAGAATGAAAATACATTGCACGCTGTTTTCACTTTCAATAAACCGCTGATTGATGATGCAAATTTTTTACATTAATATTTTTTAGCTTACAAAGATTAAGAAAAGAGTCGACTTGAATTTTTCCATTTTTGATATTTTTGCTAATCCAACCAAATCTTGCCTTTCTTCCTGAGTTCTGCTGAGTTTAGCAGAGGTCTAGCCAGGGGCGGATCTAGGATTTTTTCGAGGGGGGGGGGGGGGCGGATTTTCAAAAAAAAATCGAAAAAATTGACGACCTTTTTTTTTTTTTAGGTCGACCAAATTGATTTTTCGAGCTCTCCCAAAGCACTGTTTTGCCCCTATTTTGTTATTTTGGCAAAATTTTCTGCGCCGCAGGCAAATTTTTGAAAAAACAGTCAAAAAAGCTGTTTTTGGGGACTTTTTGAAAAAATTTTGACAAAAAAATCGAGTTTTTTTTGGCGCGCGCTTCCCCCTCAAAGTTAGTATATATTGGCGCCCAAGGCGCCTTTAGAAAAATTTTAGGGTCGGTCGGCCAAAAAAGGATTTCTGAAAAAGTATCAAAGGGGGGACCCTTTGGGTCGGCAGGGGGTCGAATCTCTGAGGGGGGGGGGCGTCCGCCCCCCCCCCCCCCCTAAATCCGCCCCTTGGTCTAGCACTGTTTTTAGAAAGTAGTTTGCGCTGAATGTTCCGACAGAATGTTCCGCCTCATTTCCACTCCCCTCCCCCACATTTGATTTTCAATTTTGAAAAACTGTTTCCTAAAGTGAGCAAAATCTTAATTATAAAATAAATTCAATGTTGCCTCACTCACCTTTGTGCTTCCTCTCTGAAGCTATCTCGAGATCACTTGGCATAAGAGACAAATAGTTAGCTTAATTTTTTTGTATGGTTAGAATGTATAATTTCAGGGAAATTTGTTTTGCATTTTGATTCGTTTTTCTTTTAATGTAGAAAAAAATTTATGAGCAGGACGAGGGCAGAAACTTATCTCTTTTTTAATCAAAACTTACGAACTTTTGCGAGATTTAATGATTTTGTAGATCTTAGCAATAAATGAGTTTTTGGAACCTGCGACCAGATATTTACAAAAATAATAAACGGGGATATAGCAGTGTTTGTGTTTTGCGTGTGCGTTTGGTGAAAACACGCAACAGCACGAATTAATTTTTTATCAGGTGAAAAAGAAATTAGCAAAACAGTTGCCTGCTGGCATATCTGTTGAATTCAGAATCAACAATTTTGCTATCCTTTTTTCCTTTCTCCTCTTTCGAAGCCTTATTTTTCTCCCTTGTTTTCTCAATATCTTTTCAGCAGCTATCAGCTATCGAATATTAAGATACTTATACCTGCACAAGCAGTGCTTTTTCAATTCCAAATTGACCAAATGCGCTCGCCAAAAAATTCTCTTTTTCCGTACTTTCTTTTTTTCATTAATATTGCTGAGGAAACGATAGTTTTTTCTACTTTGCTTAAATTAGCCACCAAATTTAATATTCTACAGGTGCAAAAAGCAACTAAAATGGAAGTTGTTGAAATTAAGTTTTAGATTTGGAGTTTCTCTTAAAAAATTAAGAGAACATTGAAATAAAAATGAAAAATATCTCCACCTGAAAAGGCACCTCAAATTTCGAGAGCAGCGAGGGCGCCAGCAGAAATTGTCCATTCATTTTTTGACTTTTTTGCAAAAAATTGTTAGAAGCTCAGAAATTTTCCGGTTATAAAGTCTTTTCTGAAGAATTCATAGAAAAAATTCTTCCATTTGGAATAAAATTTGCTAAATTTTCGAAAAGTTAGTCAAAAGTCTGACAACATCAAAATTCTAAATTTAAACCAGCACTCAGCAACCAACGCTTTTCATTAATTTTCAAGCGACCAACTCTAATCACAAATCAGTTTAATTGAAATTTAATAGCTTAATCGTAAGCAACTAACCGTGTTTAAGCTTTCCCACAGGTGTACAGCATTCCAAACAAAGAATAAATTTCTGATGTTGTGACCCTTTGTGGAAATCGGCGATTTGAAGTTAGGTTCTTGGGGCGAATTCTAACAACAGCGGGTGAAAGAGCAAAAGCTGTTGATTTATGATAAGAAAAGAAAACTAACAGATTGTTCCGAGATTGTTCCGAGG